TGAGACAGGATCTCACTATGCAGTTGAGACTGACCTGGAACTCACTATGTAACCCAGGCTGGTCTCCAGCTCACAGCAATCCTCCTGCCTCAGCCTCCCGAGTGCTGGGATTACAGGCATGTGCCACCACGCCCAGCTGTTTGCTTTAAATGTACCAATAGACTTAATGGGAAAAAATACCAAATAAATAGCAAATAATTAAAGCCAAAAATGTTGGCTGGTTGTTGGCAGGAAGGTATTTTCTTGTTTTGGCTTGGTTTTGTTTTTTGCTTGAGTTGAATATTACATATAAACATTAATATGTGTAGCATGCTAAGTGCCATATGTTTTTTAAAACTTCAAGAGTTCTAAAAGAATTCTACCATTATTATTCATATTTTCCTGGTGAGAGAATTGAGGACTAGAGACAATAAGTGATTTCTCCAAGTCACACATCCAGGCTTTGGAATTTGTACCCAGACGATTTGGCTCCAGAGTCAAAGCATTTAACTTCTCCATGAGACAGCTGACTAAACTCTCACCTCCACGGTCCTTCTCTCATCTCTGTATTTTATATGCATTAAATAAGAAAACACAAAAATTAATCTCCCGATACATTAGCATTTAGTAGGCAACCCCTCGATAGCAGTTCATTTAATTATACGTTTGCATTAGAAATGTGCTCTAAAGGTTTAGATGTTTCAATCCTACTTTTTCATCAAATTCTCTAAGTGACGTTTGCAAAGTCCCCACAGACTAGTAGCTAAAGCAAGCTGACATCATCGATTAGAAATCCAAATGGACACACCCTATATAACTAAGAACACAGCGATGTCCCAGCCGCCGGTGCCGTTGCTTTCTGCTCTACAGTTCTCCCTCAGCACAGAAAAGTGCAATACGCCATTGGAAACAAACAATACGACGCCTGCGCTGAAAGTGTGCCGCAAAGGAAACAAGAAGCTTTGGCCACACTGTTAGGCCAATTTTAGTTTTAGAAGCATCCTGAGGACCGGTGATTTAGCTCAGTGTTTCCGCCACCTGCTTTGCAAGCACGAGGTCTCAAGTTCAATCCCTGGTACCAAAAAGCAAAAGAAGAAAAAGAAGAATATCCTGATAAAGCAAGATGGACTGCAGAAGCGGTGGACTATGGCTTTTATCCCTTCTATTTATCACTACAATCTGAAAAAGTGCTGCGTTCTTCTCAGAGATTCCTCTTCAGTACTTGTTAACTGAAGTTAACACATCTTCACTTACCTGGAAACCTAGGTCCTCGAAAAGATCTTACAGCAGAACTACATGTTTTGATATATTGAATATATTTGATATATTGAAAAAATATAATAAGCACAAACATGTGATTGTGCAAAAATCTTGAATAGTACCGCTCATCAGAAAGAATTACCAAATACATATTCTGTGACTTATCACCAAAACCGAACAGGGCCAGAGGAATTTCCAGGGTTCTCACCTTTCTTATGCAAAAATAAAGGTAAATGATATGATATGACTTGTCCAACTTCAAACTTCAGCAGCTAGAAAATATTGATACTGTAGGGCTGACCATCCTGTTGCTTTTGGAAGTACTGAGAGCATCAGAAACCATTCGGTGAGTTTTTTTTTTTAATATTTTAGCTTTATTCTGGCTTTGATAATAATCACCCTTCCTCTATTTTCTTGAAATGTATGCGATTTGTGTACCACATTCTTGACGTAAACTAATACCAGCTTTCTACTGCAGTTGGATCTAGCTCCATTTTCAAAGTATTTTTCCCTTAGCTTTATAAAGATAGAAAAAATGCTGGTGGGGGTTTAGTTAAAAATGTTTGTCCATATCCTATGAGGAATAAACAGAAGACTTCACTGCAGGGCGAGTTCTCAGCCTGCACACCCCTTTCCTCTCTGTGCAGTTGAAATTTTTCATACTGAATTTAAAATAAACCTGGCTTCCACTCTTGGTCAGTTCTTCAACTTTCTATTGCACAGGTGCGAAAACAGATGTAAATTATTACATACTTAGAACAGGGGTTTTTTTAGAGCCAAAGTTTTTAGTGAATGCTTTAAGACATTTTTCTAAATTATAAGATTAATTCACATTTGGAGTAAAATGCATGCACCTTGAGACTATAACGTTAAGTGAAATAAATTTGACACATAAGCTTTAATATCATATGGTGTCTCTTATATGAGAAACCCAAAGCCAAAGTATAAATAAATTAAACACCAAAATAAAGAACAGATAATAACAAACGGGGAGTGAGATCTTTTTCAAAAAGGAAGGGCACCAAGAGATGGGGGGGAGAAGAAGCAGAAAATATTAAGATGTGTTATGGGGCCGGGGATTTAGCTCAGTGGTTCTGCCGCCTGCTTCACAAGCACAAGGACCCAAGCTCAATCCCTGGCTTTAAAAAAAAAAAAAAGCCGGGTGTGGGGACATACTCCTGTAAGCCCAGCACTCGGGAGGCTGAGGCAGGAGGATCGCTGTGAGCTGGAGACCAGCCTGGGCTACATAGTGAGTTCCAGGTCAGTCTCAACTACATAGTGAGACCCTGTCTCAAAAAACCAAAAAAAAAAAAGGTTAATATTAAGCAAGACATTAGACCCATTAATTCAAAGACTTCTCCTGCCCTCAAAGTATCTTCTCTGTCACAACCCACATTGCCACCATTTGACACAATTGCCAGTCTTTCCTCTGATATAGACGAAAACAGCCGTTATCTGCAGAAGATGAGACTTATGGGGGTACAGGAACTATTTGAGAAGAGAAAGAGATGAGAGCAGAAGACAATCTTTTCCTGTACTTTTGTTACATCTTTTTTTTATTAGTGTGTATTGGTTATACAGATCAATGGGTTTTCTTTTGGCAGATTTGTATGTGCACACAACATACTTTGATCATTTTTGCCCCCATATTTGACCTGCCTTCACCTGCTAGTTGCTTGGGGGATTCAATGTGTATATTATGTTTTGAACATATCCATTTCCCCCTATCACTTGTCTTTACACTGTTCTCACCTCTCCCTTATTCCCTTCCTCTTGTCTAATAACTGTCTCCCTCCTACTTTCCTGTCTTCTGTTTTAGATTCCACGTATTAGTGAGAAAAAGCAGTATTTGTCTGCATCTGGTTTATTTTGCCCACCAAGATGATCTCTAGAGCTACGCTCTTTTTTTACAAGCTGCGCTGAGGGGAGTTGATTTATGCCTGACTGAGCACCTGATCTCGATCAAGCACCACGGCTGATCTGTGATAAGGAGGACCTAGCGTAGAATGATGAGGCCCAAAAAGCCATGGGAAGCAGCCTCCTTGGGCGGGCCACCCTGAGAAGTGTGCGAAGGCAGAGGCACCGGAAAGCAAGCCAGCAAAGAGAGGCTCCCACAGATCACACCCCCACCTGGCTCAGGACACCTTGGAGAGGAAGACAGGGGCTGCTAAGGCTCTGCTTAGCTCCCCACTTGTGCTGATCGCCTCAAAAATTCAGATGAGAGTGGAGGTCCAGTGTACAAAGCCTGGATGAGGGATCAGGACACCTGAGCTCTCGATCCTGCTGTGACTCTGATTCTCCAATTCTGTGTAACCTTGGGCAGGTTTGCCTTGCCTGTCTGTGCCTTTTTTTCTCTATTTGTAAAATTCCGTAATCCACTCAAGCCTTTTTAAGGACTAAAATCCTGTGAGTCTGTATAATGCATACAGTTGGTATAAAAGAATGGTTGGTATAGAAGAATGGCAACATTTGAGCCATAAATAGGATAATTCTTAATAAAATAAAATAACTTCTTTTGATGTATTTGTAGACCAGTAAGTCAGGAATTTGGAAAATGCTGGAAATAATCTATTCAAGACAGTGATGCCATTGGGCCTGGACTCGGCCTTCAGTATAAAAATGAGTGAGGCTCCTTCAGGTGAGAGCTAAAGGATGGGAGTGCCTCCTCTCCCTCTCTCCAGATTTCCTGAGGCCTCCGGGGCTTTATCCAGCCTCCTCTAGAAAGCTATTCAAAACATCACAGCCACATTAAGTTCAGCTTAATGAAAAGTGCAGTCAACTGGACACTAAAGAAAATTGTATTTAAAATTTGGATTTGTGGGTTAATTACTCAGAGTAAGGAGAGCCTTAATGCATTCTGTAAAAATCTGTATCCTAAATTTAAGCATACAATGGAGAAGAAGAATTTTGGTGACTTCCTCTCCCTCTTTAAGATAGTTTTGCATTTCTTAGTGAATCAAGACCTTCCAATACATTATTCCAAAGTGTGTGTTTAGCACCTGATGTGCTTCCAGCATAATTTAAAATGCTGAATGGAAATTTTTTTAAGAAACACTAGGCTGGAGGGTTGGCTCAGTGGCATAGGACTTACCCAGCATGCAAGAGACCCTCGGTTCAATCCCCAGAACCAAAAAACAGGAAGGAAGGGAGGGAGTGGGGAGGGAGGGAGCGGAACTATTTAAACTCACATTCTAGATGGATAAAATATATTAAGTGGTACGCTGCTTTATTTTATTCTTGACAGAGGTGTCCAACAAAAAAGAATGGAAGAGGCTTTCCTCCTCAACCAAACTTCCATAGTAACATATTTTCGACTTAGTGGTTTATCTGTAAATCAGAAGGTACAGATGGCTGTGTTCTCCATGTTCCTCATCTTTTATGTCCTGACACTGATTGGAAACATCCTCATTGTCATAACTATCATCTATGACTGCCGGCTCCATACTCCCATGTATTTCTTCCTCAGTAATCTGTCCTTCATCGATGTCTGCCACTCCACTGTCACCGTCCCCAAGATGCTGAGAGACACCTGGTCAGCAGAGAAGCTCATCTCCTTCGATGGCTGTGTGACCCAGATGTTCTTTCTGCACCTCTTTGCCTGCACGGAGATCTTCCTGCTCACTGTCATGGCCTATGATCGCTACGTGGCCATCTGTAAGCCCCTGCGGTACATGACAGTGATGAACTGGAAGGTATGTGTGCTGCTGGCTGTGGCCCTCTGGACAGGAGGAGCCACCCACTCCATAGCTCTGACCTCCCTCACCATCAAGCTGCCCTACTGTGGTCCAGATGCAATTGACAACTTCTTCTGCGATGTGCCTCAGGTGATCAAACTGGCCTGCACTGACACCCGCCTCATTGAGATCCTCATTGTCTCTAACAGTGGGCTGATCTCCGTGGTGTGCTTTGTGGTCCTTGTCATTTCCTATGCTGTCATCCTGGTGACTCTGAGGCAGCAGATCTCTGAGGGCAGGCGAAAAGCCCTGTCCACCTGTGCAGCTCACCTCACCGTGGTCACACTGTTCCTGGGACACTGCATCTTCATCTATTCCCGCCCATCCACTAGCCTCCCAGAGGACAAGGTGGTGTCTGTGTTTTTCACTGCTGTCACCCCTCTGCTGAACCCCATCATCTATACCCTTAGGAATGAAGAAATGAAGAATGCTTTGAACAAAGTAATGAGAAGAAATGAAAAGAAAGAGGGAAAATTTAAAAGTATAGGCCATTAGGATGCTTGGTGCTCCAAACCAAAGAAATGCCTGGCAAAGAACGAGTTGTAGACCATACTTGTCAGACTATGTGAAACATAAAACTAACCTCTGGCTTAATATCTAACAATCACTGCAATAGCCATGGTTACAAGTACCTTTCCTGTGCTGCAAATTGTCCTAGGGTTCATGCATTTACTTAATTCTTATAAAAATCCAGGGAGCTGGGTATTATATTTACTTGTATATGAGAACAATGAAGCACTAAGAGAGAAAACAGAATGCCCAAGTCATCCATCTTGAAAATGATGAAGACAAGATTTAAGGGGACTAAGGATGTAGCTCAATGGTGGAGCTTGTGCTTACCATGCTCAATGGTTTGGGTTTGATCCCCAGCACTGTTAAAGAAAATAGGATGTGAATGAACCCAAGCATATCAAGCAAACCAAAGTTATTTTCATTATGTCATACTGCCTCTCCCTGCTTTTCCATTAAAGTGATAACCAAGCTTGAAACAAGCCTTCCAACTCCTAGACATCATTCACTCGGATGTTTGCCTGAACAGAAACAGCTGCATGTGACTTTAGCAGCTGAGGAAGACTTTGAACCATTAAAGTTATTAATACTATCAAGTGTCCTGCAAAATCTGCCATTGTAGCAATGAAATGAGGATGTTTTATTATTCATTAATTAACAAATATTTACCGAGCACCTAATTTGTACTAGATATCAATGTTATAGTTACAAACAGGATTAGGGCTGGGGATTTAGCTCAGTGGTTCAGCTGCCTGCCTCACAAACAGAACATATATGTAATCCCCCGCTTCACTGAGCTTATAGCCTAGTAAAACTAGAAAACAAAAATATGAATAAGTTTTAATTATAGATACAATAAAATCTGTATAAAAAAACAGAGCAGGTGCTATTAAGGTATGGAAAAGACTGTCTTTAGATTGAGTGGCCAACAAAAGACTGTCTCAGGAAATTATACCAAGCTGATATATGAAAGATGAAAAGGAGTCAGCCTTGAGAAAAGAATGCTGAACATTCCAAGCTGTAGAAATGGCAGATACCAAGACTTGTGTTGGCAAAGACCATAGCTTGTTCCAATAAGAGAAAAATCAGGGTGCTTATTTCTTAAAGAGTGCTATTGGAGAAATAGCAAAACATCCTACTATGTTTTTATAAGGTGTGTAGAATCTCTTCCAGTATAATGGGCACCATAATGATGTAATTAGAGAAATGGCATTATATGTTTATCTATCACCTAATATTGCTCTAAGAGCTTGGAGAAAATAACAGCTTGAATAAAAAGTGGTGTATAACCCAATGCCTAGAATTCAGTTGAATTAAGCGGTAGCAGAATAGTGTATCCTGAGTGGACTGGGGATTATGTAAAGGACATTCTAGGCAATACTGGCTCACAAACGTATTTACAAAAGGGCGTGGCATATTGGGAATCACCTGTTCACTCTCAGGCCATCAGTGAGAACATCGCACTGAAATTCACCTGGGATTTCCTAAGCCATCAGGGAGGATGCAATCAATAAATCTCTAGGCCAAAAACTCATCTCTATCTTTTGTGGTATTTTTGCCAGAAAATATTTTGGGAGAGAAATTCAAATTACACAAGCTGTTTCCATTATAGGGAGACCTGGTAACGAAGGCATCCTGGAGTGTTTTGCAGGTAGCACAAGTTAACTCTCAACAGACAAATCTAATAACTAAGAGTGTCTTTTTCTGGGTCTGGGTTTTAGCTCAGTGGTGCCACAGCTGCCTAGCAAGCAAGGTCCAGAGTTTGATCCCCAGTACTAGAAAAAACAAAAAAAGACAGAGAGTAGTCTTTTTCTTAAAGATCATCCTCTAGATAGTGTAAAACTATTCATTTGTACTGGTTGCTAGGATATCTGAGACAAATTTGGGAATTACAGGATTTACATAAAGCAAATGCTCCTTTACTGTAGGCAAAAGAAGACAATAGGGAGATGTAACTTTCCAAGATGTCCAAATAGAATCACTTTGTGCAGGAATCGGCCACAGAGGAAAGGTACAACGTGACAGACAAGATAATCCTGGCAGTTATTAGGGTTAAAGCCGGCAAAATGGTGGCAAAAGATGTCATGTTCGCTTACTATTTTCAAAGCAAGCAAAATATCTAATACTAACCATTTTCAGTCTCATTAACCTTCACACCTCTCTGCGGAGATAAAATAAACCATTCTCCACTTCTCAGGATATATTTTAGACTCTAGACAAGATTAAAAATGTGTTTTGTTAATCACTGAATAAAAAGGAAAGAATAAAATGAAAATATCTTGACTCTTGGTTCTGTGGTTGGCTTTTTAAAAGGAAGAGAGTCATTATTTATCAATATAAAAATGTGTTCAGCTCTTTTTATTTAATAATTGAATTCATCAGGCTACAACCATCTTGAATGAAAGAGTAACTAATGTGCCATGATACAAATAAACCAATAAAGAACTGGGAATTTATTTCAGCATGAAAGATATTAATGGATATGAATATCTGTCTGTGTAGAAGTTGGGGGGTGTCAGGAATTGAACTCAGGACCTTGCACTTGTGAAGCAGGCATTGTGCGACCAAGCTAAATCTCCAGTCCAACTAAATCCCTGGCCTTACAAGTCCAGAATGGACGGCATACTGAGGTTTCTCTTCTAAGTTTTAATGTATGTATAGTAGCGATACCTGGGCCTTATTTCATAGAGATATAAAAAATTCTTATTTGACTTGGGTTTATATGAAAATTACAAGGGTCTAACAACATTCTACACTTGTTTGTCAATTTGCAAGTATTAATTTTTATGAGCTTCTCTTGGTTCTTTTAATGGATTATTTTGAGTCTTTGTCCTTTTGAGTACTTTCTGTCATTTCAATTATTTATAAGCTTTGTATTAGAGTTAGTGGGTCAATTGTGCTGTATTATGCAAGACAAGAAAAAGAAATCAGTGTCATGAATATTTGAAAGGATGAAGTAAAAAACTATCTTTATTTACAGATGACATCATTATGAGTCTAGAAAACTCTAAAAAAGTCTATAGAAGCGTTGAAGGTGTAACAATGGTAGGGTGCTTGCCAAGCATGCACAAGGCTCTGGTTCTATCACCAACACTGCAAAAAGTTTAGAAATCTAACAAATATGTAAAGTTAACAGTGTCATAGGAATAAAGATAATGTATAGAAATAAACTGTATTTCTGTATATTGCTGATAAACAGTTGAAATTAACAATAGTGCTCTGCAGGTCCCCGAGCACTAGTGTCTTATGGTCGTGGCCACAGTGGGACAGCCTAGGCCTGGAGGAGGAGAGAGACAGTCTTAAGGTAGAGACATGGATTTAGGTGTATTACAAACCACTCAATACTACATGCCAAGCCCAATGGACTTGTTCTTCAATATGGGACTGCTGGATTTCAAACAAATGCAGAACATCCTGATCATATCATGTACCGCATGGGATTGTTAGCGGTCCTGAGGTCAAAACAGACAAAAGCTACCATAGGAGTCATGGTCACGGCATCACACAATCCTGAGGAAGACAGTGGTGTCAAACTGGTTGATCCTTTGGGTGAAATGTTGGCACCATCCTGGGAGGTGCATGCTACGCATCTGGCAAATGCCGAGGAGCAAGATCTGCAGAGAGTGCCCAACATCAGTGAGAGTGAAGCTGTGGATCTGCAGCAAGACGCCTTTGTGGTGATTGGTAGAGACACCAGACCCAGTGGTGAGAAACTTTCACAATCTGTGACAGACGGAGTAACTGTTTTAGGAGGTCAATTCCATGATTATGGCTTGTTAACAACACCCCAGCTGCACTACATGGTGTACAGTCGAAACACCAGTGGCCGATATGGAGAGGCAACCATAGAACTTTACTACCAGAAACTTTCTAAAGCTTTTGTGGAACTTACCAAACAGGCTTCCTGCAGTGGAGATGAATATAGATCGCTTAAAGTTGACTGCACAAATGGTATAGGGGCTCTGAAGCTCAAGGAAACACAACATTACTTCTCACAGGGACTGTCAGTTCAGCTGTTCAATGATGGGACCGAAGGGAAGCTCAACCATTTATGTGGGGCTGACCTTGTGAAAAGCCATCAGAAACCTCCAGAGGGAGTGGAAACGAAGCCTAATGAAAGATGGTATTCCTTTGATGGAGATGCAGACAGAATTGTGTATTACTACCGAGATGCAGATGGTCAGTCTCATCTCATAGATGGAGACAAGATAGCACCGTTAATTAGCATTTTCCTTAAACATCTCCTATTGGAGATTGGAGAAAGTTTGAATTTTGGTGTTGTACAAACTGCACATGCAAATGGAAGTTCAACACGGCATCTTGAAGAAGTTATGAAAGTACCTGTTTAGCTGCACTAAAACCGGTGTAAAACATTTGCACCACAGGCTCAGGAATTTGACATTGGACAGGCTGGGGATTTAGCTCAGTGGTTTAGTGGCCTGCCTTGCAAGTGCAAATTGGAGTTTATTTTGAAGCAAATGGGCACAGCACAGCATTGTTTAGTAAAGCTGTTGAAGTGAAGATAAAACAACTAACAAAAGAATTAGAAGATAATAAAGGAAAAGCTGCTAAAATGCTTGAAAATATCATTGACTTGTTTAACCAGGTAGCTGGTGAGGCCATTTCTGACGTGCTGGTGATCGAGGCCATTCTGGCTCTGAAAGGCCTGACTTTACAACAGTGGAGATGCTCTCTCCGTGGATCTTCCAAACGGACAACTCAAAGTGAAGGTTGCATACAGGCGAGTGATTAGCACCACAGATGCTGAAGGACTGGTGGTTACACCACCTGGATTACAGAAGTTGCTCAGTGACCTGGTGAAGAAGTACAAGCTCTCACGAGCATTAGTTCGGCCCTCCAGTACAGAGGATGTCGTCCGAGTGTATGCAGAAGCAGATTCACAAGCAAATGCAGATAGCCTTGCACATGAAGTGAGCTTGTCTGTATTTCAGCTGGCTGGAGGAATTGGAGAAAGACCCTCCCCA